TGGCGTGACACTAACCATGGCAGTGTGATCAGTCCACGACGTCTCCTCTTTTGGTGCTCTTGTGAGAGCTATTTTGGTATGATGGATATTAGATTTAGGAGGCGTATGGGTTGGCCCTAGAACATGTGATTCGTTTGTAGGGTGGATGTCGGTGTAGTGTCCAACGCCACATCTCACATTTGGTACGTGTGGATCTACAGTCCAACGTACAGGCCTGTGTGGCCATATGTCTGACACTTGTCATGTTAGTTAATATGCAAGTGTATGCGTTTTCGAGCTCGATTTGTCCCTTCATATGATTTTGTATGATTATGTTAATTGTTGACTTTCTAAGATTTTGGCACTCATTTGGTTCAATGTCTTGAGATATTTTTGGCATGTTTATATTACCATTTTTCTATATTTGTTTATCCGTTCACTGGGCATTTGGCTCAGCCGTGTTTTCTTCTATTCTTCACGGCAGGTAATCAAGGGGAGGCTAGGTTTTGTGACAGAAAGTAGGCAAGGATCTTGGTTCCAAGGATTTCAAGAGGTTGAATGCTATGTTAATTCATTTATTGGATTTTTTTTTCTTTTGGCTATTAGATTAGATTTCCTTTATGGGTTTCATTTGGATTGTCCTCGGTTGTTGGAGGATTTTGGAAGTGGTTGTTTAGAGACCTTTATATCTTATTTGTAGACATATTGAATTTCGTTGTTGGAAGATTTTATTTTATTTCTTTGTATTGGAGACTATATTTTGGAGGTTTTATATAGCGACTCCGTTACGTTTTGAAGCAACCTCCCTTCCTTCGGAATGGGGGTGTTACAATTATGGTATCAAAGCCTAGGTTCAATCTTGTAGAAAGCYAAGTAGGTTTGACCTGTGAGTGTGGGTAGAACTGGGGTTTAGAACTTATTTAAATTAGCTTTGTTAGTACTCTTTATTCCCTATGTGTAGTAATTTTTGTCCTTTCAATTTAGGATGGCTCGTCGATCTCAGCGTGTGGCTAGTAGGCGTAACCGTACTTCAGTAGGAGGCCCTGAGCCTTCTCATCCGGATGCTAATGAGGGTGAAGTGGACCCAACTATTTTGGCAGCTGTGAATCAGGCAGTCTCTAATTTACTGTCCAGCATCGTGGCCCAAGTAGTCGAGGCAACTCAGCAGCACTCTACCGGAGGACCTCTACCAGTCTCAGAGACATTAGGGGGTGGTAACCCACACCAAACCAGAGACACTAGTGGGGCAACACCAGATGGGGCCATCCATGTGTGGCTTGAGAGATTTCAGAAACAGAAGCCTCAATCCTTCAGTTCGGCACCGACTCCCGTGGATGCAGAAAACTGGGTCTCACACATACAGAAGATTTTTGAKGTTTTGGGGTGTCCGGAACTGTATAAGGTTAAGTTGGCGGCATACAAATTGGAAGGAGATGCTCAAAGATGGTGGGATGCGATCAAGCAAGCTAAAGGAAATGAATACGTTGATGCCCTCTCGTGGATGGGGTTCCRTGAGGCGTTCTATCAGCAGTATTTCTCAGCTGCGGATAAGAACGCATTTGTGAGAGAGTATGCCACAATTCGCCAACGAGATGATGAGTCTGTAACAGAGTATTTGGCATGGTTTTTGAGGCTCGCTGGTTTTGCAGGGTCGTCAGCCGGGACATCTCTAGAGCAGGCTAAAAAGTTTAAGTGGACAATTCATTACCGGTACTGTTCCAAACTTATCAATGAGAAATTTACGGATGTGGCACAGTCGGCAGATGCTGCCAAGAATATTGAGATGGAGCGGCAAGACTTTTTGGCATCCAAATCAGATGGGGGAAAGAAAAGAAGTCGAGATGGCCAACAAATTCAGCAGATGGGGCAACAAAATCAGCAGCAAGGTGGTAACAGTGGAAATCAGTGGAGACAGAATAGTAGCAAGCGTCAGGGGTAGTGACAAGGTCAAAATCAGGGTCAGAGGCAACCGTACCGTCAACAAGGTCATCAGGGACAGGGGCAAAATCAGACTCGTTTTCAAAGGTCAGGCGACAAGGGTAATAATGATTCGGTCCCTCAATGCAATTCATGTGGAATGCGCCATCCTGGAAACGTATGTTATAGGGCTTCCGGAGCTTGCTTTTTGTTCGGTCAGGTGGGACATTTGGCGAGAGATTGCAAGAAATCTCGTAGCACCGACAAAGGAAATGACACTAAGRCAACTAGTGGAGGTAGGGTGTTTGCCTTATCAGCTAACCAGGCAGCAAATTCAGGTATGATTTCGGGAATTCTTTCGATTGGCACACATGATGTTTATGCTTTATTTGATACAGGGACAACCCATTCTATGGTTTCTTTGATTTTTGCTAATCATCTTAGAGTGYCTTGTACATCATTAGAATCGCCTCTAGTTATTGCTACTCCTTTGGGTAATTCGGTAGTTATATCTCGAGAAATTAAAGGGTGTCCTTTAAAAGTAGGAGGTCAAATTCATGAGGTCGATTTACTCCCTATTAGCATGAACGATTTTGATGTTATTTTGGGTATGGATTGGTTGTCAAAGCATCGAGCAACAATTAAGTGCCAAGCTAAGCAAGTAATCTTCGGTGACAAAGAGAGGCCTGATTTTGTGTATCAAGGATTTCAACCAAAAAGAGAAGTAAAGATCATATCTACCTTAAAAGCTCAAAAGTTAGTTTTCCATGGATGTCAGGGATTTCTAGCGTTGGTTAAAGACACATCGGTGGAAGAGCGTTCCCCTGAAAGTCAACTAGTGGTCAGAGAATTTCTTGATGTATTTCCGGATGAACTTCCAGGAGTACCACCTGTCCGAGAGGTGGAGTTCACTATAGATTTGGTTCCTGGTGCAGAACCCATCTCTAAGGCACCTTATAGAATGGCACCTCTAGAATTACAGGAACTTAAAGAGCAACTGCAAGACCTCCTAGAGCGTGGGTTTATCAGACCAAGTGTCTCTCCTTGGGGTGCTCCAGTATTATTCGTGAAAAAGAAAGATGGCTCAATGAGGCTATATATCGATTACAGAGAATTGAACCGGGTCACTGTTAGAAACAAATACCCTCTTCCGCGTATTGATAACTTGTTCGATCAACTTCAAGGAGCCAAGTACTTCTCGAAGATAGATCTAAGGTCAGGCTACCATCAATTGAGGGTAAAAGATCAGGATGTTTCAAAAACCGCATTCCGCACTCGATACGGGCATTATSAATTTTTGGTRATGCCTTTYGGTCTRACTAATGCCCCAGCCGTTTTTATGGACCTAATGAACCGAGTATTTAGTGCCTACCTAGACAAGTTCGTTATCGTATTTATTGATGACATACTTGTATTCTCTAAGTCAAAGGAGGAACATGAAGGTCATCTATGTGTTGTCTTGGGAACTCTGCGAGATAAGCAATTGTATGCCAAATTTTATAAGTGAGAATTCTGGCTCGAGCGGGTAGCATATCTGGGTCACGTAGTGTCAGCTGATGGTATTACTATGGATCTGACAAAAGTGGAGGCCGTGACTAATTGGCCAAGACCTACAACAGTGACTGAAGTTCGAAGTTTTTTGGGACTTGTAGGTTATTACAGAAGATTTGTAGAAGGATTTTCCTCTATAGCACTACCTTTGACTCGATTGCTGAGAAAGGGGGTGAAATTTCTATGGAAGACAAACAGGAGAAAAGCTTCGAAGAGTTGAAAAAGAGGTTGGTTTCTGCGCCCGTACTCCCTTTGCCTTCGGGAACGGGTGGATATCAAATCTACAGTGATGCTTCCAAAAATGGTCTCGGCTGTGTACTTATGCAACATGGAAAAGTTGTTGCTTATGCCTCTAGGCAACTCAAGCCATATGAAGTAAACTACCCCACTCATGATCTAGAGTTGGCAGCAGTGAGMTTYGCTTTAAWAATYTGGAGGCATTATCTTTACGGAGAAACTTGTGATATTTTCACGGATCACAAGAGTCTCAAATACATATTCACCCAGAAAGAACTTAATATGAGGCAAAGACGTTGGCTAGAGCTTCTCAAAGATTATGATGCAAGAATCCAATACCGTATAGGAAAAGCCAATCTAGTGGCAGATGCCCTTAGTCGAAAAAGGTCAGGGAACTTGTCATGCCTTACTGCTCAACCTCATATCATCTTGGATTTGGAACACATGGATGTTGAGGTTTATGATAATCATTCATATGGGTGGCTAGCAAGTTTTACAGTGGAGCCCACTTTGATTTCAAGAGTCAAAGAAGCCCAAAAACAAGATGGAGAGCTCTGGGCCATATTACAAAAGATAGATGACGGTAAGCAAGTTGATTTTCGGGTTGATGCAGACTATGTGATATGGTTTGGAAATAGACTGTGTGTTCCCAATGACCCGGAAATTCGCGAGGCGCTATTGAAGAAAGCACACAACTCGCCATTCTCTATTCATCCTGGATCCACAAAGATGTATAGAGATCTGAAGCAAAACTTTTGGTGGAATGGAATGAAGCGASACATAGCTAACTTTGTAGCAAAATGTCTTACTTACCAGAAGGTAAAAATCGAACACCAAAGAGCGAGTGGATTTCTGCAACCGTTAGAAATTCCRGTGTGGAAGTGGGAGGATATCTCAATGGACTTTGTAACTGGGTTACCGAAGATGCTTAAGAAAAATAATGCCATTTGTGTTGTGGTCGACCGATTGACTAAGTCAGCTCACTTTCTTACTATTTAAGAAGGGTATTCAGTCAGTAAGTTATCAGAACTCTTTTAACGAGATATAATCAGGATTCATGGCACACCAGTATCTATAGTATCTGACAGAGATCCTTGATTTACTTCACGATTTTGGAAAGGTTTTCAGAATGCATGGGGCACGAGACTCAAATTCAGTACGACCTTTCACCCTCAGACAGATGGACAATCTGAGGGATGATCCAAACTTTGGAGGATATGTTAAGGTCATGTGCTTTGGAATGATCCGGAAGTTGGGATGAGTACTTATGTTTAGTAGAGTTTGCATATAATAATAGCTGGCAATCAAGCATTGGTATGGCCCCGTTCGAGGCTTTGTATGGCCGAAGATGTCGGGCACCGGTATATTGTAATGAGGTTGGTGAGGCTGTTATTGAAGGGCCAAAACTTGTAAGAGTCACTAATGAAAAGGTGGCAATAGCCAAGGAAAAAATGAAAGAAGCTCAATCACGTCAAAAAAGTTATGCAGATCGTCATCGGAAAGCTTTAGAATTCCAAACAGGGGATCACGTGTTCCTTAAGGTTTCTCCTTTTCGAGGTATAAGATGGTTTGACTTAAAAGGGAAACTAAGTCCAAGGTACATCGGTCCTTTCGAGGTTTTAGAAAGGGTCGGCGAAGTCGCTTATCGCTTAGCTCTTCCACCTCAGCTATCTCATGTGCATAATGTGTTTCACGTTTTGACGCTTCGAGGCTACAATTATCACCCATTGCATGTAGTACAATATCCATCAGATAAAATCCATGAGGATCTTTCGTGTGAAGAAGAACCCGAAGCTATATTAGACAAGCAGGAACGAGTCATGAGGAAGAAGTCTATACCATTTGTCAAAGTGTTGTGGAAAAATCATCCAGAACGTGAGGCCACTTGGGATATGGAAGAATCTATACGATCAGAATATCCGCATCTCTTCAAAAATTTGTAAGTGCCATCTCTGTGTATTTCAGGACCTAGTTTGATTTCGAGGACAAAATCTTTTCTTTTGGGGGGAAGAATTATAATACCCGTCAGATATATATGTGTGTGTGTATATATATATATATATCAGTGCAGGTTTAATATATATATATATATATATATTTATATTGAAGTTTGGGTTAGTTTAGGAAGTTGACCAATCTTGAGGGGTTAATTCTGCATAAATCGCTTTAACTTTGCAATTAATGGGCTTGGGCTTTTGTTTGTAGATTAGGGTTTAAACCTAACCGTAATTCCTCTTATTTAAACCTAACCCTAATCTTTTTTTAACCTAATTCCTCCTCCCTAATCCTAATTCCTCTAAATGTGATAATCGTTAGAGAGAAACCCTAAGAGTTTGGAAGAATCCATTGATAACCTAGGAGGGAGCCGACGGCCAAAAGCAAGCAAGGTTCCATCGATTTCTTGTCGGTTTGAGGTAAGGTTTTGTCCCATTCTCGAATCTATACATTTAGTAGTTGGGTTATAATTTTTTGAGTTGTTCCGGTGATTTGAAAGTCACCGATTCGGTCAATAATAATGGCAACAACTAGGGGTTTGTCAAAATCGTCTTTAGAACCTAAAAAAAATTCTTCTCGTTCTTCTCTCGAATTTGATCTTATGTGGTTTGCATAGTATGGATATATATATGTGTATATATACATATGTATATATATATATATATTGATAGGATTTAGTTGAGTTTAGTTACATTATTAGTCGTTAAAGTGATTTAGTTTCGTTATGCCATCAAGTTATCAGTTAGGATTAATAGTAAGTATGGGTGTTTGTTTAGGGCATATGTTAGCTCTAATATTTACTTAATGTAAAAGTATGAAAAAGTTTTCTACAAGTGTTGACAGAAGGGTATTTTCCACAGATAGACAACAGAGGACCTGCAACAGAAGCTGTTTGATCGTGCAAGTCAAGAATGACAGAACATCTGTTGTCTCTCACAGAGGTTCTGGAAAATGGTCCACTGGCAATAAGAACCTACAAGTCTTCTACAGCAGAGCCTCTGAGATGGCTCACAGAGGGTCTGCGGATTC